CACACAACATGGTGCATTTCATACAGCATGTGCATTGGCATGTAGACGTAGCAGAGTTACACATCCTTACCCTGTATATATCTGCTCTATTTTACTGTTCAAGCTGTTTATTTAACTGAAAGCATCCCTACGTTTCTGTACATTATTTCTGTTACCTTTGATGAGGTTGAGTTCGTCACTACCTATCAGTCCAAAGGTTGGACTTGTTACTTACTGAGTTGGTGTACTCATGTTACCCCCTGCACCTTGTGTGCAGATTCAGACACTTTTGGATCCAGTGGCAGTTGTTGTTCGAGGCTTCTGGCTTAGGAGATTGTTGAGGTATCTGCACGGCTTTCGCATGCCTTGGCTCTCCACCTTACTTACCAGTTGTATTTCAGCTATTCCCTTAGACATTATATGAGACTATGTATTTTCTGTAGACGCTCATGCACTCAGTGACACCCCGATTTTGGGCTAGATTGTATCTATTCTTGGAATTTCTTATATTTCAAATAGTTCTTTGACTGTTAAAAGCTTCCGTAAATGTTTTCAAATTTATTATTATCGTATTGATTGTTGAGTTGAGGCTAGCCTAGTTTCACGATAGGCGCCATCACGACGGGTCGGGTTTTGGGTCGTGATAAGTTGGTATTAGAGGCTAGGTTACATAGGTCTCACGAGTCATGAGCGGGTTTAGTAGAGTCTCGCGAATCGGTATGGAGGCGTCTGTACTTATCTTTGAGAGGCTGCAGAACCTTTAGGAAATCCCACAATCTTGAATTCTTATTGTGCGACATTGATTCAGCTTGAAATGTAACTCTTTGAATTCCTTCCACGCGTTTGTATGCGCGTATTAGCGCTTGGTATCAGTTGTGCATCGATGGCTAGTGATTCCCCGATCGAAGGGCGAGATTTGATTTCTGTGTGTTGATGTTGGGCCAGTCTGGAGGACTTGAGGCCGGGTTTTTGCCTATAGCTTGAGCACTGAGGCGTTGATTGTGTGAGCATTGTGAGCATGTGATTTTTGCCCTAAGCAATTAATTCCAAAGTTTCAATAATTGATTTTCTTTATATTTTTACAGATTTTGTGAATTTTCGTGTTAATTGGTTGCATTTTTATTCATATGAAAATCAAAAAATGTGCATTTGCATTTAGGGATTTAATTTCACAATTTTGGTATTAATTAGTTTTAGACAAATTTAAGAAATTAGCAAAAAAAAAAAAACTGTTACTTTAGCACTTTCAATTGTTAAT